CGGTGTTGCTCCCGCGCCTCGCTCAGCCAGTGAGCGGGAACCAGTCTGTATGTGGGATCTGAACCCTCGGGCGGGAGCGCCGCCGCGCTTCCCAAGCAGCGCACTATCCAGTGCACCACCGGGCCGGCCCCAGTTAAGTCATTTCTGAAAATGAATCACTTAGCTTATTTTCTTACAAACACTATTTCCTCATCATCAAATGGTCTGGTAATAAGTTTAACCATTTATCTACTGAAATCAGTCTTAACCTCATAAATGTGCATTAATTCTTCATGTTGGTGGGATGGGGGGCAGGAAATAAAAGGTTCTTGGCACGTTAGTATTCCTGTCTTTTTACTCTGCCTTCCTCCCTCAAAAACTGTTCATGATTTTTTAAAGAGTTTGAGAGTGACTGAGACTGATAAGGAGACAAAAGGCCATTTTAGAAAGGTTTGAGGTAAAAAATGCAAAAGAAAAGCAGCAATGTGTGAGGGAGGACACAAAGCCATTCTTCTACTCACATACCAGGTGCTCAGTTTCCCTGGGCTTGGGTTTCAGGACCACCTCTGGGTTACAAGCCATTCTCTAAAGTCTCAAGCCCCTCTGCTGTGTCCTCCCACAGAGGAAAGTTACTGTTGCTAGTTAGACCTATTTTCAGCAGCAAGGGGAAAATGAGACCATAAGGGGCAGGCTCAGTAGAGAAGGGTTACATAACACTGGTAGCCAGGGATGCTCGGTAAAATGGAGTTTATCCTCTGAATGACCTTGCACTAGAGATGCTAGAGAGCACAGAATATTCTTGGATATGCCTGGTGCCTGTGATAGGATTTGACCAATGAACATGCTCCAAGAGACCAACTGGGCAGGAGCAAGACTATGTTACATAACTGGGAAACACCCTCTTAATAAAATATGCATTAGATAGTGAAACTGTAAAAGGCAAATGCCAGCAGAAAGCAGGGTTGTTGCTCATTCTCTCGGAGCCCACCCGCACTCTGCCTGTGGAGTGTGTATTTCATTCTTTTCCTACCAAACTTACTTTCAGCAAGCAGCTGCTCACTCTCTTGAGCCAGCCTGCACTCTGTACTAAATTTTAAGTGTGTATTTCTTACTAATGTATTAAAGTTGGTGTGGGCCCTGCCCAGCCTCTGGAGCTATGCCACACTCTCTGTGGAATCTGTATCTTATTCATTATATTAAACTTGTTCTCAATTTCTGTTGTGACTCTGCTGTTGAATTCTTTCCTGTGGCCGATGGAGTCAAGAACTTGCTAAGAGGGCAGGGTGAGTTCAGACCAGCTATTGGGCTTCCCCCTGGATCCTTCCTCAAACATCACTACCATTAGTGATAGAGAAGGGGGCAAAATAGCCAAAATCCATGCCTTTGTAGGCTTATATTCTAGTGAGGGGAAACAATAAGAAAACACGGCATAGGAAGTTCCATCAATACTCACTATGGATGTTGTGTTTAGACTTCCAATGAATTTTATAAAAATTCATGAGGATGGGCCAGCCCGTGGCTCACTCGGGAGAGTGCAGTGGTGATAACACCAAGTCCACAGGTTCTGATCTTATATAGGGATGGCCAGTTGGCTCACTGGCTGAGCGTGGTGCTGAGAACACCAAGCCAAGGGTTGAGATCACCTTACCGGTCATCTTAAAAAAAAAAAAAAAATTCATCAGGATTACATCCCCATGGTCATTTTTTACCCAGTAGAAATAAAACCTCGTTACTTTTTTCCTTTTAGATGTTTTTTTATACACAGCAGAAATTCTCATTATTAAAGAAGATAGTAGCCTTGTATTGTCTTTGGAAAGAATGCTTGCTAAGCACCTATATATGTGGTAGTCATTTTGCTAGGCTTTTACATGACTATCTTATGAAGTTCCACTGTACAGATGATTAAACTGAGGCTAAAGATAAGCAACTCGCCTTAACTCATTAGTAAGTTGTGGAAATATTATTGAAAAATATGCCTTTTTAACTCCAAAGCCAGTACTCTTTTGATATATTATACTGCTTGGTTGCTTTTACTACTGAAATATTTAATGATATAGAAATAAGTGAACATTTTTTGAATGTATTAGTTCCTCTATGGACACAGGAAAAAATGTGGCTTAATGGCTAAGGCCACTTCCTTCCTGTTTGTCAGTCTTATATGGCACTACCAGCCACCATAGCAGCTATTATGATAAAGTGAAGTGGCTACCACAAATTGATATTTTTCTCCGTATTGATACTTAGTTTTGACAACATCATTTATTAAATATCGTCCTCTTCACGGTTTAGTCTCTATTGACTTGAGTAAAATCTAAAGATTTACTTGATCTTTTTCAATTTCTTCATCTTCTTAAAAGATTACAAATACCTCTTAGGGAAAAATGAGGACAGACTTAAAAGTATGCATATACAGCTAGTATAAAGTAATTGCTTAATGCATGCTCACTAGCTTACCTAAATTTAAATCTGTTCTTTGCATTTACTTACTTGGTTTGATTTAAATGAAGTTGCAAACCATTGT